AATTTACAGCTGATTAGCCTCCACTATAAAGACAGGCCCCAGCTCACAGAAGGAACACTGCAAAACATTTATGCAAGGCCAGACGCAAAGACCCTTATTAAAAACACGTGTTCTTCCAAAGACCCCTCAGAGAGACATCTAGAAAGGGGCTGAATAAAATCTCTGCAGAGGGCTCGCTCATCTCGTTTTCAGCACATTGTTGAAGGAAATGTCTGAAATAAGACTCATGAATATTTAAAAAAAAAAATACATAAATAATAAGTACCTTAAAAATGCAAAAGTTCAAAGTAAGTGTAAGACAAACAGAGGAATGAGCTCTTTACAAAGAAACTAAACACACTTGCAAGATCCTCTTAAGCATGAATTAACAAAATATATGCTTTATCATGACGATTATCCATATATTTAAGCATTAAATGTGTATGTTTCCTGGCCAACGGCTTCTTTTACATCATCTTAATAATCTAAGCTAACTGGTTTCTAGGTGTAGCCATATTTATTTGGCCTACTAACTGCACAAGGGGACTAGTCTACAATTCCTACCATCTAACTCTTTGAAAGAAAGTAACCAAACTGTCAAACTACTTCTTTAAAGACCAACAAATCTATATATTTAAAACCACAAAATCTGGTTAATCAACTGAAATAATAACTGCTCTCCAAATGGATTTTTGCTCAGTGTCCAAACTTAGCACTGAGCTCACTGTACCACAGCAGTGCTTAGATTCACTGTTTCCCCTTATGGCTATAATCTGTGTGTGTCTGTGTGAGTGTGTGAAGGCAGGAGAAAGTGAGAGAGGGCATGAGAAGGTGAAATTGGGTGTAGAAAATACTGAAAAAGTGAGAGTGAACTTTGTTATTGCTGAAGACGTGTATGGTGAGGCGGCGGCTGGCGTGGACACCTAGACCCTTAGCTACTGTTGCTGCCAGGCTTCAGCTGCTACGTGTGCTCAGTCTTCACCACGTGCCCACAGAGTACACAAAGCAGCCACAGGTATGTCCCCATCACCCCAGGCCACACCGATCACAGCCAGGATGCTGTCAGAACCTTTCTGCTAGCCTGTCAGGCTAACGAGTTGTGACTGAGTCTTTGCTGCCAGCACACAAGGAGTTGTTCCATTCATATACCTTCTATTGATGTATGGAGACTTTCCTTACCAGGTCACAGCCATCAAGGAGGAACCCTGGAACGTGTGTGTGTCTGTATCATAAGCACGTCTGCTTTTAGAGACTGCGAATGCGTGTGTGCTTGCATGTGGGCGTGCATGTATCCATTTATCTGTTGGTGGGTGTTCAGTCTGGTTTGCCACAGTGGAAAAGATAATCATAAACTGGCTGGGTGATGGTAAAAATGCATCCAGGTGGACTGCGCTTGTGTGCTGCTGCATGGCTCTGTGTGTCAGCTTGGCTGGGCTCACAAAGGTCCCAGTTCTTCATGAAATTTGTGGTAAATAAATTGTTGAGCTGTACACTTCAGTGCAGCCAGTCGATCAAAACTATCACACAGCTGGCTGCTGCGACAGGGAAAAATGTCCCGCAATCATCTGCAGGAGGAATTACGACAACATTAGGCATGTTTTTCTTTATCATTTCTGCACAAAGTTGAGCAATATAAGCAAACCTAATTTGATCTTTGATCATTTAAACAATGACAATTGTGTGGTTAGGACTTGATGCCAAATTACATGAGATAATTTACCGTACAAGCTATCAAGAGTCTGTATCAATATATGGCAAAAACTCAATAGGGTTAATAACACTAGCATGGCTCAGACCAAGAGGATAGAAAAATTAGTTATGGCCAGTGTTTCCAACTGACATAATTTTAGCTATGTGAGTTTCAACATAAACAGAAAAAGGAATGAGAAAATAATTGTGGTCGACTGGTGTGTGGTAACCCGTTGGTTTCAGTCTTCATGTTGGATGTGGTGTTCTTTTTCCAGGGTTTTGGATTTCTCATTATATGTTAGGTACATGAACTTGTATATGGCTGGATACGTGCTGTTAGAGTTGACTGAGTACAGCAGCATTCCCTACTCAACCTAAACTCACAAATATTTTTTCATTTGCCAGGATTTTTATTGAGGGAGAATTTTATGGTAAAGGTAGATTTGCAGTTGAAATCTGAAAGTTCATGCACACGGTGGGGCGTCACTGTCCACTGGAGTCGTTCCAGAAAAGTGTGAAATGATGTCAAAACAGCCTTTAAATTATATTATTCCTGTATGGGCAGCAGACAAATAAAAAAAATTGATGGGATTCAGGAAATTAAAAGGATGCGTGCTGTCAAGGCATGATTAGTTTTGAAATGTAAAATGTATTACAATTAATCATTAACAATAAATATTTCACTGAAAACTGAATAATGCTGGCAAATCTCCTGCTTATCCAGCAGTCTCTGAGATACAACAAGATTGTCTTTCATTCATAAATCTATAACTTTAACATCTTTTATTTTTGGCATGCTTTTTTTCAAAGAGTTGGGCTTTGGAAAATAGTCATGTCATTATTTATAAATGCATAAAACAGATATTAATCAACTGTGGCAGCTATTCCCATTGCAGGATGGCATTTCGTTAGTTACTACAAATAATCACATTCTTGCCTCTGCACATTTTTTTAAGATGAAATCTGCCAGAGGAAAAAAAGAAAGAAAGATTTACCTTCTCACCATCCCCCATGATAAATCTGAGAAAATAGCCCTCTGCTCTGTTCCAAATAATTTCCTTCCAGCTCTGTCCAGAGAGATTTCAGGGACTAGGCAGTTTGGTTTTTCTCCTTCAGAGAGCGTTAGCTTGGTTGGCTGCAGGGCTAAGGGTCCAGCTCTATCAACTAGCGCCAATGTAAACACAGCAATTCCTCCCCAATTAGAAACGCTAAATGCATTGGACTCGGTGCAATACCAGGGCTGGTCTATGCAATTAATGCAGTCTTAGTCTCCACTGGCTGCTTTGGATGACTGGGATGGTTAAGATGTATACAGTTTCAGTTCAAGGCCAGTCACTGGAAGTCTGATTATGCAGGTTGGACTCATCATGGAAGTATAAACATGAGGCTGGATGGGCGCTTAGTGGTTGGGTTTTCTTTGGGTCAGCCGTGCTGGGTAGCACCACCAAGATATGCGTGGGAGGGAGGTCAATCAGAGGGAGATATTTGTAAAAGAGGAAGCGGCATTTCAGCTGTGGAAACTAATCAGATTCAACTCTTAGAAAGCACAGAAGCTGTGATTATTACAGTGAGGATCTGTATGCACTTTTTCAGACCAGATGTAAAAAGACTGATTATTTTGCAATTAGGCCACTGCAATGCCATTATTTTATCAGTTAGCAATCAGTAATTAAAAATAGACCTTGCGCCTGCAATATCCAGTCACTTCTTAAGATTTAGAAAACATATGGACATTCAGACTTGCACTATCCCTATTCTTACTTTTTATACGTGATAATTTCACATTCTTTTTAATTAGATTAAAGCTACAGTGTCTGGTGACTTATCCTCCTACATGTGTGTATTTTGAGTTTCTGTTAGCATGCAAAAAACATGCAAAATTATTTAAAAAAATGAAGAAATAAATAAAAGATATGGTAAAAAAAGATATAAATGAAAGGTGCAAAATACAACAATGTATCCACTGATGAGGTGAGGTTAGTTACGTACATCACACACACACACACGCACACACACACGCACACACACACACACACACAAACACACACACACACACACACACACGTGCACGCACACACACATACAACCTCTTTTTTGTGATAGAAGTGATAGAAGATCACACAGGGTTCCTTTTGTCCTTTGGCCATTGTGCATTGAGGTGTTGATTTGCTTCAGCCCAGGGCACTGTACTCTCTCAAAGATAGTTTGCTAACAGAGCTTTCACTCCATTGCCTCTAATGAAAATCCATACTAAACATTTAGCTCTGTGTGAGAAAGGGAGGAAATTCAATAAGACACATAACACAATTTATAAATTACAGGAAGAACCAATCGAACCAACAGGGAAAATGGAAAAATGTTTTTATGTTTGTATTTGTTAATTTTGCTTATTTTGGGCAATGTATTGTATTTTGTATGTGGCTTCCAGTGTGTGGTGAGCATAAAGAGGTTGAAATCTATTTTCTGGGCCAAAATGAAGTCTAGTGCTGGGTTTTTATTCCTTCTTCTTTTCCACAACGATTATCAGTCATGCCGCCAGAGATGTCTCCACTGAGGTATTCCCCAAACTAATGGTCGCTCTTGGACAGCACTATCGATAGTAAACTAATCTGAAGCCTGCAAGGCACAGGAAACAGATCTCATTAGCACTCACTGAACTATCTTCCAAGGAAACTTTCATCTTTAGACCACTCTGACAAGAGGCCTGAAAGCCAGACTAATGTCACTTACTAGTTCTGGTTTAATGGCTGACTGAAAATGTGGATGGATGGATGGACAATGAAAGAGTGGAGGGATCTGTGTGAAGTTGTTTTATGTTTGTGTGCTTGACTGTGGGGTCATAAAGCGCTATAGTTTAGCAAAAGCCATGGAACCATACAACCTTTTTGTTGTTAAATCAATGTTACTGCTAAATACATTTGGATTGTTTTTGATTATTTTGTTATGTGCATTTTTGCATAGTATATGTTTTGTGACAATTTGCTTATTCTGATATCACCTTCTTATTCTGTATTTACATGCTAGACAGTATAAATATGTGATTTAAGTTGATCTAAATTAAGTCATTATAAACTAGCTGTGAAAAAATAACAAAAACATTTAACAAAATATAAAAAAAAGTCAATATAAAAATATATATGTAGTTTCTTTCTATTCCTCTAGCTTCAAGTTAGATAAATATACTCACATTTAGAACGATGCTGCCACACCATGGCCGAAGCTATTAGATACACATGCAGCGTTTGAACTTCTAGTCATTCAGCCACTAGAGGGCGACTTTGAATTCATCGCACATCCCGCGAGCTTTAGTGAGATCTCGTTGTTTGTTTACAACCCGAGAACTTCCTGTCTGATGAGAGTAGCATTTTGGTTTTTTTGTGTGTGACAGTGACTGTTTGAGCTAACTAGTTAGAAGTGAGCTTTCAAGATGGGTTGTGATGGTGGCACGATTCCCAAAAGACACGAGTTGGTGAAAGGGCCCAAGAAAATCGAGAAGGTGTGTTAGCTTTATTTGGCTTCAGTTTCCCTTCCGTTTTTAAATAGAAAATATCCCTGTTGGCGATATTTTTCGAACGCTAACAAGTTGCTAATGCTAATGGGCTAAACTAAGTATTGTTAAGTTCGGGGTTTCATCATGAGAATAAAAAGACATATTACGGTATTTTAAATGTGGTTTCTAATGTACGTTATGTAGTTGCTGTGAGTTTTCAGAATTTAACGCTAGTTAACATTATCTTGATGTGTTATAGACGAAGCTACATGGCGTATTCTTTCCTCACGGTCTTCTTACATGAACAGGTTGATAAAAATGCTGAATTGGCTGCCAAATGGAAGTACTGTGCATTGAGTCAAGAGAAACTTAGACGACCCATCGTCTCCTGTGAACTGGAAGGTGAGTTATTTTTTGTCTTGTTTTGTACTCGGGCATTATTTGATGTTTGGACACGGTATCGCTCGATGATGTGACAGCGCGAAGATATAAACACCGTTTCACAAATAACAAAAATCAGACATGAATTAAGACTGTACAGTTTTTCATCTTTTCATTACACCACATTATGTTCTGGTGGTCTGGCACATGTTATTTTTCAGACTGTACAACAAAGATGCTATCATTGAGTATCTCCTGGATAAGTCGGCTGAGAGACCTAATGCTGAGGCTGTAGCACACATCCGTGGGATCAAGGTATATTAACACCGAAGTGTGAACATCTAACTTGTTTTTTTTATTTGTTTGTTTTTGTAATTAATAAAATACAGAGCTACATTATCCATTTACACAGTTGGAGGTCTTCAGCCCATGTGTTTCTGGACACATGATTGTGTGTTTATTCGTGGTTTCAAACAGGAATCTATCTATTTGCTTTCTCTGAAGGATATAAAGGAGCTGAACTTGACTGATAACCCTGAATGGGAAGGAGAAAGAAGAAATACAAAGGGAGACAGATATGAAGACATTCATTGTGGCATGTTTATTTGCCCTGTAGTTGGGTTGGAGATGAATGGCAAACACCGGTAAGCAACCTGAGTGAAGAGGTACTAAACCTAAGAATGAAAAAATGAGACTGACGATTCATGTTCTCTCTTTGTTTTAAGGAGCAAGCCACTGTATCTAAGTTAATTTTAATATACTAAATACATGTTTGAAATTCACTGCAAAACATATGATGGCATTCGTCTATCTTGCTTCTGATATACTTGTGAATTTCTGGACAATTCTGTATTTCTTAAATTCTCTATTTTTTATTTTATTTTATTTTACCTCTGTACATAACCACATCGTACTTTAATACCGCATTTGCGATTAAGTTGGAAATCAGAATTTTCAAGTTCCCAGTGGAAATTTTCACCTGGAACGCCCTCTCAACTCAAATTTCCAACTCAGAAATTCAAAGTAGACATGCCAACCACAAGTTAACAATTGTAAGATGGCAGGACTGAACGTAAACGTTATTAAAGTGTAAAACTTTTAACCTGTGCTGGTATTGTTTCGTATTTGTGATTTGTTAAATAATCCATTCACACAGCACTTACAAGGTTCGATCCATGACCATGCTGCAGCAGTGTTTTTAAGTCAAAGAAAAACAAGTATTGCTCTGTTTTGTTAATGATGGATGAATAGTTCTATCTTACTAAGAAGCAAGGTATAAGACATCCTGTTTTTACTGTCTTCTCTGACTGAATCATACTCAACTCAGGAGTGATGTCACTCCTGAGTTCTGACTTCTGAGGTGTCTGGAACACAGCGTAAGTTAAATAATCAAAATGTAATGGAAGTACAGATTTGTATCTTTGATTCTGGAGTTTAACAAATGCATTTGGTAGAAATGTTGATGCAAGTGAAGAAAACAGTTATTTGGCTGAGAAAACAAAACAAAACAAACCTATCAGAGAGAAATCAAAAACCTTGGGAGTGGCCAAATCTTCAATCAGGTACATTACTGAAAAGAAGAAAGCATTAGTCTGCTCTGCAACTCCATCAAGCCTGAAAGGCCACAGAGGAAAACTAAAGTGAATAAGGTCAAAATTCTTTATGGTTAAGAAACAAAAACATTCACAAAATCTAAGGGCTCCAAGATGCTATGGCACAGACTTGTCTACATGTTGTAGCTGTTTCCTGTCACCAGGGGGTAGTGTCACAAACAACTCGTCTGTGGGTTACTTTTGCTGTTATGCTGTTGTGGGACCTTGTCAGCTGTGGAAAAGAAAGGCGGTAGTGTACAGAGGGAAAATTACAACGTGTCAAGAACCCAAAAACGTATGGACCTAACTTTAGATCACATAAAGTTAGAAAGACATACAGTTCCCAGCCCTGCGTCTGTTATTTATTTATTTATTTTTGGTGAATGGCCCTAAAAGCGATACAGGTGGAACTGTTTAACAATTTCATATAAGTGTTTCTCTGTTTTTTAGGTTCTGTTACCTCCAGACTTGTGGCTGTGTCTTTTCAGACAGGGCCCTGAAGGAAGTCAAGACAGAAATCTGCCACAAGGTAGGCAACATTCATTTATTTATTTTTCCCAGGTTATTTAGCCTCAGTAGGTTGTCAACTCTGACAGTTTTTTTTAAAAAATTCTTAAGACACTTTTAATCTTTACTGCCATTAAAAATATGTAAAACAAACATAGCCAGCTCTATTTGTGACATCATTTCTGCTGAACAGCAACAAGATAATAACGTAGCTTTTATGCTCCTTAAACACAAACCACAATAGTTGAACTCAAAGACTTGATGGACCTAAAGTCTCCATCATTGACCTTGGGTGTTTGGCATTAATGCTCCTTGTTTAAGTCACACTCAGCAAATTTTCAACGCTAATGATTTGTAAATAGGCAGGTTTGATAAAAATGTAGATAGATAGCAGCAGTCTGGTATAGCTAGGGGTGGGGGAAAAATCGATTCTGTGTAGTATCGTGATATTTTGTTTGCTAATAATGTATCGATACAGGGACAGCAGAAATCGATATTTTGTTACAAAAAAGGTTTTTGTGCTCTGACTTCAGAGCATGTTGATCCTTTTTCTGAGCAAGAATCCTGACATTCCTTCACTGTCCAAATGTGTTTAACTTTTTTTATGGCCGCAATAAACATGACAGTTTACTTATTTTAATTTAAGACATGTTTTATTTTAATTAAGTTTAAAACTTTTTTATTTAATGTAAAATTATATTTGTTTTAATTTACTTTCAATTCTCAGTTGCTGAAGGGGCTGCATAGTTTTCATAAATTGCATAGTTCAGAATAGCTATAATTGTACCAGATGGTTGCATTCAGTTAAGTTGGACTAGACTGTAATACAAACCGTTCAATTTGTCAACAATAAAACGGACTGAAATGAGAGAAAGACTGAGTGTGAGACTTTGATATTAGATAAAATGAATATTGATAACGTTTACTTTTATGTACAGAATCTGAATATCGCAAATATTTTTAAAAATTGCAATAATATCGTATCGTGGATGTTATAGTGATTCCCACCTCTAGTATTAGCTTTGTTCCAGATGCACAACTGGTTGCTCAGATAGATAAGAATGCAAGTTAAATTACTGAAGTGTAATGATTTAATGCTCCCATGAGAAGACATAATAGAAATAAAAACCATCATGTTCACATTGTTTCCGGGTATTTAAGGGCTAGTAATAAAAATGTAAGTGAACTCTGGCAATGTTTTACATTCGTAGAATACACACAGATAAATAACTTATTGTTTTTGGGTTGCTTTTTTTAAACAAAAAAATATAGCATGTTGACTTTTAAAACTATCACAATATCAGCATTGTTAAGAAAATAAAGCCTGAGAGAATGTAAATGTAACTAAAGTGCTCCTATAGTCCACTACAAACCACTTTGTTGTTCTATAGGAATATGTGATTAGGCAAATGTTTGAAATTTGGTTTCATCATGTTTTGACCTTGTTTTGCTGAATTCACAATTTGCACTAGAATCTATGTGAACTTTAATTTGAGGATCAGAGGAAGTTTAACGTTTAATCACTTTAGTTGAACATGGCCTTTATATAATGCGCGTTACAATATTACTGACCTCTTCTGAATTTAAATAATACTAAACCATAAAGAACATGCCATATCACAACATTTATGTGAGTAGATGTGTTTTGGACAGATTAAACTGCACTGTTCCTTTCTTCAAGTCGCTTCTGAGATTGCCCTAGTTTAGCCACACGGGAATTTGAATCAAGTAGGCCTAATGCCTTTTATGGTTCTGACCTTGTAGTTGTAAGGAGCATTAAAACTATGGTGGAAATTTCCCATGCACAGGCTATTTTTGAGGTAACAGAAAGCAGATGGTAGCTGGTCAGTGTTGTTATTTCTGTTTAATTAAAGCATTTTGGAACAGTGACAGATCAGTTTTGACTTTGTCAAGAAATATCTAAAAGTATAAGAAAAGCTACAGCGCTTCTTGTGGAAGCTGACTTAGAATACTGTGATTTTTGATAAGATAGGCTTATAAGGCAGCACAGTTTCTGGAGCCAATACGATTAGCCTGACTTTACCCACTCTTTATTCAGTTGCTGCTAAGTTTAGAAATGTAAAGTACAGTTCACTTAACCTTAAATGTCAAAGTAAAACATACAAAATAACTGATAATGCAACATCACCCTTTGTTATATCCATGTAAGACAATAAGCAGTTTGTGCTGAGTTTTGGACAGGTTCTATAAAAAGTGATAGCCATTTTGGCTTTTTTCCCCCTTTGCATCCAGTACCCATCATAAATTGTTATCTAAGGCTGAACTGTCAGAATCAAGTTCAGAGTGTGTGTCATTGGATAAAGACTGATCTTTATCTAAGCCAGCATTTATCTCTCTTTTCTTTTTCTTTTTGTGGGTTCATATTTGAACTCTACTTGCATGCGCTGTTTACCGAACACACTTTTTGTCCTTTTTAAGAAATTTTGTTGTTTTTTTAAAAAAAATATTTTGCAAGGAGTCATTGCATAAATTGATCTGCCAGTAAAAATGCCATTCACATAACCAAATGTCTTTAGTCTAGCTTGACTTACTAGAAATTCTGTAGCCTATATAAAAGAAACCTTTTTAAAAGGTAAAACACTGTTTACTCGGGTATTGTTCAGACACACTGACAGCATGCGCAAGATCATGTGAAAGTTAGGACTCGTTATCACAATTGCTTTTATTTGTTTACACCTGTTACTTCTTAAATAGAGAAAGGGTCAACACCTTTATCAGCAGTTGTGTTTTTCAAACTGAATGTCATACTGAATAACATTTCTTTGGTAGTGTCGTTTCATCCAAGCTTTAGTCATTATTTTTGCTTTATGGACAGAATTTATTTCATATTTTATTTCTGTATTTAGAAAAAAGGACAGCACTGATAAAGTTTCATAGATAAATATATTAGTATACACACATGGTCTTGAAATGCATATTGAATGCATTTTGTCTTCCTTGGTTTTGCTTTCCTATGCTCATATTATGACATAACAACACAAGACAAGTGCAAATAAGCTCAACTAGATATAGACTGCATGTTTGTAGTGATTTCATTCTCCAGCACTGCTGTTAAAGTAGCTGCTGCTGTTGCTGTAGTTGCTGTGTATGGCCAGTAGCCATGACGGTTCTATGGGAACAGTAGCCTGGTTGATAACCTTGTTTCTGTGCCACTGCTCCAAACAGTCTAGTGCCTCAGGAAAGGTATTACTCTCAAACTTATTGGCAAACATGCTGTCCATGCTGATGATCCATGGTAGGTCTTCCACTCCGTAGATACAGATGTCTCGTATGTAATGCCCTGGAAAACAGCAGCTTGGACATGACTTTTTTTTTAGCATTATGCCAAAATTCATTCCTTTTATTACGAGTTTCCATTATATAAATAAATATATGTACGCAAGCGTATTTAACCTTTGACGTAAAGCTAGTGGAGAGTATGCCATATATATGTATGTATGTATGTATGTATGTATGTATGTATGTACGTACGTACATATGTATGTACACGCATATATATACACATATGTACACACACATGTACACACACGTACACACACATATATATACACACACACACACATATACACGTATATACACGTGTGTATATATTTAATATATATATAGATATATAGATATCTATATATCTATATATCTATATATCTATATATATATATATATATATAGAGATATATATATATATATATATATAGATAGATAGATAATAGATAGATATAGATATTAGGGTGCAACGATACACAAAATTCACGGTTCGGTTCGGTTCGATACTTTGGTGTCACGGTTCGATATTTTTTCGATACAAAAAAATGTTCATGCCTTTTTAATTTGTCATTTATTAAAATTATAAATATATATTTTAACTCAAAAGTACAGTTTTTAAATTTAACCCTAACCCTTGTGCGTGTTTTTTATTTTGACAGCGAATGCGCACCTGCGGACCACTTATGTGCAGCCCTGGTTATTTAGCTCATCATATCGCAGCCACAGAAATTATTTTGTCCATGAAACCATAAAGCTGCACTTTCTTTTTGCCTTATAGTCTGATTTGTCATAACTTCTCCGTTTTGTGGTAAGCTTTTCTTTGGCTGTCACTTCTTCACCCTGACCTGTCTTATTTGGCTCAGCAGAACTAAAATATATATCCTGCTACTTTTACACACGCACTCACATAAGCTCAGCGATTCTCTGCGCGATCAACCTCTCACATGTTTAAGCTTGCTGCGGGAGATTTCACTTGTCATGTTTGCATAGTAAGCTAACGATTAATAAGACGATGTCAGAGGAATTGGTGCACAAATTATCATCACTCACAGATCAGTGCTGTCGCTCTCTATACACAGCTCGCATGATTTTCCTTCCTACAATAGCCCGACGGGCAGGGAAGAGATAGATTTTGGTAGCCCGACTGAAAAAAATCGCTAGCCGACGTCCTGGGGCTAGCGATATTGCAAGCCCTGTATCTGATTGAGGAATCACTCATCTTTGGAAAAGAGAGTTTATTACAGAGAAATGTCTCTTTCCAAAATAAAAGCTATACTATCCGCTTCTTCTGGGCTATATTCTCAGCAGCATAAGGAGAATCATGTGCTAACAGCTGTCTAAATGACTCGGCTAAAGTTAGTAGCATGCTTGCTTTTTTTTGTCTACTTCCACTTGTCTTTGCACTAGGATGATGTCGGCGTAAATGTGCAGTCATATTCGTTGTGTTCCCACTAGTGCTTTCAGGTTAATCTCGTTGAAATGACCTTAACGCCACAACACGGCAAATCTCCGTTAACGAGCTACCGCCGATCGCCCTGTGCATGGGGCTAGACGGCCAACACGTTAACGAGCTAACTGCGCTAACACACTAGTTCCCACCCATGTAATTGAGCATTGCACGGCACATCCAACATACTGTTTTACTTTAGTCCATGACTCGCTTACCTTCAGGGTCATACGTCACATGAAAACCAAAATAATTCCAAACGCCAGATCTGAATGAGGGTGGGGAGGTCCATGTTACAAGGAGAGCTTAACTTCTGTCTTGCTAGCTTGCCCTGCGCTCTTCCTTCTGACGATGCTGTCTGTGTTGAGCGCTCAGTGGATCTGCACTCGACAGTGCAGCCTAGGCGGAGTAGTCGAACGCAGATTCACTGAGCGCTCAACACAGACAGCATCGTCAGAAGGAAAGTTGATAAAATAAATTACAAATGTTGTATTGTTCGATACATATGCGTACCGAACCGAAAGCACTGTATCGAACGGTTCAATATCGATATGAATATCGTTGCACCCCTAATATATATATCTATCTATATCTGTGTGTGTGTGTCTATTTATGGATGTACATGTGACTTGCTCACAAGGATTTATGTGGGATTAATAATTTATTGTTGGATTACAAAACTAAATACCTCATTTTTACCACATTTTTATAATTTAAATAATTAGGAAATATTGGTAGAATTTAATCTCTGGGAGAGTAACTAATCCGGTCTTTATTGACATATATGACTATACCTTTGCAACCACTGTGTGCACTTCCTTCTTGATCCCGCCATTTGATTGCCCGGATAGCTCCTTCCCAGCCTCCATCAATGCGACTGCCTGGAGCTTCTTAAAACATGTAATCAGACAAAATTGGTAATTATATGACCTAATTGAATTGTCAAGGTTTAACTAGCCCTGCTCAGGCCTCCTTCATCTGCTGTTTGAGAGTCAGTTCTCGATACATCTCAAAGAAAAGCTAAAGGAAGAGGTAGCATTTGCAGTCTGTAAGCAATTAAAAGTAGAGACATTGATCAAAGTTGCAAAAGTTAAACTTGTTATAATTCCTGATAAGTTTTCATTTTACCAGGGGGTAATGAAATAAAATGTATAAGGATAACAAATGGTCACAGGCAGGCTGGAGTCTATTCTAGCTGACAAAAATGAAAAAGAAAAGTATAACCTACATAGACAGAAACCCATTCAGTCTCCTGAACTATGAGAAGGAACTGAAGTATTTAAAGCCCACATACATACAGACACAGAAGGCTCCAGTTAATAAGGAAATTTGAACCTAGAACCTTGTTTCATATCATCTTTTGTTTATATCACATCATACTCACATTAGTACATGTTTAATAGTTTTGTGCTAGCTGTTAAACAAGCGTGGAGTTTTGTGTCTGTGCACCTGTTTAAAACCGCCATTTTACCTTTGATATGGTTGAGCGTCACCCAGTAGTGTTCATCTGGACTGAATGTGTCCCTGGACCAATCCAAGAAGTCATGCGCTATTGGGCTTTTCAGAACAAAGTCCACGAAAGGTCTTGTAAGAACATAGTAGGCTGTTCCAAAATATAATTGCAGATTGTGTGGAGGAGGCCTTTTCCTCAGGCCTAGCCCTTTCGGAGCTACATG